ATTGAGTTTAAAAGGGGGCGAGACACGCCGATTGATGCAGTAGACACAATTTTGTCTGTATGTTGGTTTTGTTAGGTGTTTGAAGTTCGTTTCGTTGTTATTTTTGTCTCTCAATGACGATGGCGAGAGCAACGTTCGTGAAGGCATTCAGAACTTGGAGTTGCTGACAGATCTGAGGGAGACATCATGAAGAAAAGTTGAAGTTGTTCTTGATTGGCTTGATTGCGATATTTCTCACGTTTGAGTTGTTGTGTGCATGACTTGAGTTTTGTTACTTGAAACATGAAACTTGATGTTGTGAGTGTTTTCATAAACATTTGGTATATTTTTGTTGTCATGGCACATGATGAGAACCTGGGAAGAAACTCAGGCGGAATCTGAGTTTAAGTAATCGGAAAATCTTCCGGGGAATCTGATGCCATGATTGCGGACATATTGCACCCTCATGTCATGACATAGACTCAAACAAGACATATCACACCTCCGAGATCTTTAGGATGGATCAGACGTTGAAAGGGGGACGGCGATCTATGCGATGATGAAGCTGTGAGAGATGTTTTGTCAAAATGCCCCTCACCGCTTCCTCATTCCGTGCCAATCTTAGCTAGTCCTGACCCTGACTGTGAAAGATTTTCATTCAGAACATTTTGAATTTGTTGTGCAGTGACTGTGAACTGTACTTCACTTGCCTTGAATTTGAGATGAGTTGCATGAGTGATATTATTTCACTTGCGTTTTCTTTTCATACGCCTACCTTCTACACGAAGGTGCGGATTAGCTGAAACAGTTGGCCTTTGTTTTCGCGTTGACTCCGATCGTGCGACGTTAGGTTTCGTCTTGGGTCTCGTGTGTGTGTGTGTGTTTGTTTTGTTTTGTTCTGTTGTTGTTTTGTGTGTTGTAAGAAGACAACAGCACTGTAGATATATCGTTATCGACGCCATGGTTCATCCGAGGAACTGGATTTTGGAAGACGAGCTTAGTACTGGAAAGACTTTAGGAGTCTTTGGACTGAGTCTGGTATTCCAACATCTGGCTTTCGCAACAGAGAAGATTTTAATTTGGAAGTTACGACATTATGCATGAATCGAACAAGATGAGTTTTGGATGATGCCTCATCCTCTATTTGATGGCTTTGAAAGAAGCACCGTCTTTGACTGTCCTTCGTCTTTCTTTGGATATCTTGTGATCATGGATATGATCTGGAACGTGAACATTTTTTTCAGGTACGGGTACCTGGAAGTGATGTGAGTGGATGAGATGTCATGTCGAAAGGGGGTATGGAAATTTGACACCCTGTGGGAGCACCCTTTGGGTAAGGGTGAAGCGACATGCCATTCATCATTGGTTGTATAGTTTGTGCACAGAAGATACGTGGAAGGCCACTACAAGAGTTCATGACGCGATGATACTGCAAGAGGTTATGGAAGATTGGTAGAGAACACTCTACTTATTGCGGAAGGAATCTTGTATGTGACCATCCTGTATCACAATATTCTATTATTCTTCGGACTTGTCATTTCTGACATCAGGATGATGTCATTGATCAGTGTTGACCAGTGATTGTGGTATATTTATCAGTTCTACATCTTATTCTGGATTCGACTTGAGTCTGGTACAGCTTATTGCTTGAGCTGAAGATACCTACATTGGTTTGACATTGAGATTACGTCTTGTGTCCAAGCCATCTCTGGACACTGAACACTGTAAAGTTCATTCTCTCCAAGTGATGAGAACACAGCTAGAAACTCTTGGAGAAGAGTTTAAGCTAGCTGGAAATATCTGATGGAGAGAACCTACTATACTTTGAGGCTTGGACCTTGAGATGCATTGGTATTGTGAAGACAATGGCCATATTTGGGCATCTTATTTGTCTGAGAGTTTTGTGATGAGATGTTTCGGTATTGTGAGGACAATACCTACATCATCGTCATCGTGACCTATGGATCATACGCTTGATCTTATGGTGTGCATTTTATCGTTCCTGAGACGACTTTGGTTATCTCTATGAGAACGACATCGTTTTGAGAAGACTTTGGTCTACATTGTGGATTGGCTATTACAGTGGTCGAAAGACTTCAGCGATACAACTGTATTTGGCTGACCTACATTGACAATGTCGAACAGAACATTCCATTCTACATTGAGGTTGAAAGCTGTGCGATGCTATCTCTATGTGGAAGACTGATTTGGAGAAAGAACTTTGTGTCCTGACTATGTTTTGTATCCAGAAGAAGGTTGTACAGACACCTTGTGTGAATCACTTCGTTCTTGAGAAGTTAGTCAGCTTGTGACTAATGAGCTGGTTATTCACGTTTGGATGAGAACCAGTTTGATCTGAGAACTTTTGGAAGTGTTTCGATGGTTTTTGAATTCATCTAGTGAAATTGAGTTTTGTAGACTTCTAGCAGCTGGAATAGTTTCAACAAACCTTTATTTGAGGAACTTGAGGTTTGTTAACTGGAAACCTGGAATCGAGTTTACCAGTTGAGACATCGGCTCGAAGGACTGGTGTCAGGAGTTCATTTAGTGAACAAGAGCTGCTGTGTCACATAACTTGACATAAGACAGACCGACACAGGGAACACGAACACTTCTCTGTTCTTCTTCTTGTTCTTTGTTTCTGTTTGTTTCTTTGTTTGTTGTGTTTGTGTTTCCCTTTGACTGATCATGTTGCGTCTGGAGCGAAAAGAAGGAGCTTGACGTCAGCATGTGGGAGTCGAGGGTGAAACAATCCTTTTGACACGGTATTGCTTTAGTTGAATTAGGTTAGGGACTTACGCGCTGCGCTTGTGTTTGGTGTGCGTGGTTGACGTACGCGTCCGCCCGCGTAGTTCTGTAGGAATTTTGGATGAAGCGTTGGATCTGATCGCAGATCTGTGCACGGCGCTTTTTCTACATTTTTTCTTGACTAATGTTCGGATTTGTAGTGATTTATTGTTCGTGGATAAGTCTCAAAATGAGATTTATTTATGATTATTTACGTATGTTTTGTATTCCGCTTCAGAGAAGATTATGGCCCAAGCCATTTTTTTAGGTTTTGAAGTAACATCAGTGCTTGTACATCGACAACATGATTGCGAGCTGCCGTGAATTTACATCTTGACGCGAGGGCACCCAGGAGTTATATATAGGGGTTGGCATGGATTGAATCCCAAACCTACATGGAAAGCCCGAAAAGGTTGCTGATGCTTGCTGCAGGTTAGTTTCCCTGGTGTTGGTGGTTAGTTTCTTTCATGCTGCGGTTTGTCCACCATATTCATGAATTAGATATACCTTGTGCTGTTGATGGCTAAATTCGGGATTTTCCAGCCTTTTTCATGCATAAATAGTTAAATCCTAGACTTTGACTTCCACCATGGATCGAAAATGAAAACTATCTCAACTTCAGCATATATAAAGATCCACCCTTTTCAACTTCACCCACCCCAGCGACAGCGATTTCCTGCCCAGTTTGATTGGCTGGGTACATCGCGGGATGCTGCGGCAGGCCGAAGTTTCTATGGGGTCCGATGCGGGCATAACCAAAAAGGCGCTTTGAGGAAAGTATTGGACAATTCAACATGTTCGCTGCAACCCCTAGGTTTGGCCGCGGCCAATCCCGCATATCCTTTGACATGCTTAAATCCATTCGCAAGGTTTAAGCTTTTCACTTTCCAAAACAACAAACACCAAAACCCTAAAACCTAAAACCCTAAATTGAAACCCTAAATCCTGAAAACTTAAAGTCAAAATCACTGCGTATAGCAAGTGTTTTCATTTTTCCTGTGGTGATAAGTACATCATATTGTTTGGATGTGTTGTTTGAGTGTGGGCGAACAAAGGGGTTGCGGGGGACATGTTTTAAACATGTTTTAACATGTTTCAACCATGTTTCAACATGTTTCCACCATGAATGTTCAGGCCTCTATTTTCAGATACTGTAACATGTTTTTTTTTTTAAATGACCATGTCCTTACTTTGTGGAAGCGTCATGAATTGAGGACATATTTGTGTTCTGTACTCAATGTTTTTGGTGGGGCAAAGGTTTTCCAGAAGATGTTGAATGACGAACCAGCCTCATGAACACAATTTTTGGTTGGTAAACCAATAATTTAGCTGAATCCCAAAAGCCTCCAGGGCTTCTGTCTATAGGAGCTGACGAGGGGGTACGTATACATATCCTAATTGGCCGCGCATGCAAAACATATGTAAAACTCATATGAAACATAGATTTTTACGCTTGTGGAACGTATGTGATGCGTATGTGAAGCGTATGTGCAGCGCAAGTGAAAACATATGTGAGCCGTATGTGAAATATATGTGAAACATATGCGAAATACATGTGACATATTAACGTAATTTGGGACTGGATTGCGTTGTGTTTATGTTTTACTTATGTATACGTTTGCGAATTTATGTGTTTTTTTATGCCGGAGGAAAAATAAGACCTTATTTTGTGCAAATCACACAAAATAAGGCCATATTTTGGAACGCACGTATAGAAAACATAAACAAAACGCAAACGAGACCGCAAACACATTTTGCATTGTTTGTGTTTGTACATGTGTATATGGTTTATGTTTTATTTATGTCGGGAGAAAAATAAGACCTTATTTTGGGCAAATAAGGCCTTATTTTATCGCTTACGTAAAAAAAACGCAAACAGAAACATAAAGAAAACAGCTAGTAGCCGCAATTTCTGGATATGTCGGGAATATGCGTTTTGTTTGCGTATTTGAAGCCGTTTATGTATGCGTATGCGCAGGCCAGTCCAAGACGGGCTCTATTGTGAAAGCCTTTGAAACCCTGCTAACCAATAATAAACATTGATAAACCTACTCGTACCAATTTTGGACGGATTTTACGATATTTTCTGGTGATATTGGGGATAGTTTATTATTGGGTTGCCTGCATTATTTCAATTTTGCAAAAACGACTCTGTTTGTTTTCTGCTGGCGTGCGGGGGGAAGGCTTTCCCTTCCTGCTTCCTTGGGTCGGGGGCCCTCCACCTCGCAGCCGCCATGGCTCCGTCGCCTGGCACTCCCTTGGGAGGGGAGCGGGGTCGCCGGCGCAGCCTCTCGCCTCCAGCGGCCGGCGCTGCCTCAGGAGTACAGCCCCCATGGTGGTGGACGCTCCTTCTACAGCAGCCGCCCGGGTCCTTTGCCCGTGCAGCGACGCAGCTCGACATCGGGGTGGGCAAACATCGGGACCATAAAGGACCACATTGACGCACACCTGTCTGGCAACCTACGTGGCGAGGTGCCTCCGGAGTGGCTCCGCACCCGCTGCTTGGTCTGTGGCCTCAGCGTCTCTGTGCAGCACGGGGTGCATCCCACCTGCCAGCCCGGGCCGCCCTGGGGCCAGAGCATACTCCAGCAGCCTCTGCGCCGCCGGCACTTCCTACGATGCAGGAGGTCCATGGAGGGAGGACGCCGACACTCCGTCACGTCCCAGCAGCAGCCCGCTACCTGTGTGGAACAAGACGCTCACCCGAGCCTTGGCAGCCGCTGCGCACCACAATGACCTCCGGTCCTGGCAAGAGCTCGCGATGCTGCCCCAAACTGTGCTAGATGCTCCCCGGCGAGGCGGGCGCCAACGCGCTCGTGCAGCTGCCGCTTACACCAAAGACAGGTTGCAGCGATGGGATGCTGGTGAACGGCTGAGTCTTTGGAAGACCTGGCAGCAGCCTCTCCCAAGGCGCGCGCGGCGACGCACTGATGAAGAGCGGCGGGAGCTGGCCGTCGGTCTAGCCCGCGAAGACTTCGATGGCAAAGCATGTGCTGCCCTTCTGGCAGAGGGGCTCTGCGCTGAGACACCAGCCACCGTGGCAGCGCTTCAGAGCTTGCACCCGACACAGGCCTCTCCACCACCAGTGGCTGCCCACGAGCTGCCCGTGGCGCCAGAACTCTCACCAGATGATGTCCTCAAAGCATTGCACACCTTTCCAGCCGCCACCGCGCCTGGGCCTTCCGGTCTTCGTGCGCAGCACCTCCGTGACGCCTTCTTGCCTGGAGCCGCGAAAGGCTGCAACAACTCACTCACGGCAGTCGTCAACCTCCTTGCCCAGGGGCGAGCCTGCGCTGCCGCCGCCCCAGCGTTGGCCGGGGCCAGCCTGGTGGCTGCGCCCAAGCCAAAAGGAGGGGTGCGGCCAATAGCAATAGGCGAGCTGCTGCGCCGGCTCACTGGCAATGCCTTTCTGCACAGGTCCGCGCCGCTGCCCGAGAGCATTTCTTTCCAGCCCAAGTCGGAGTCGCTGTGCCTGCCGGCGCTGAAGCTGCTGTCCACACGGCTCGGGCATGGTTTGAGCGCTACTCGGGCAGCAGCGCCAAACGAGCCTTGCTGAAGATAGACTTCGAGAACGCCTTCAACACCATAAACCGCCAAGCCGTCCTGTCCAGTGCGGCGACCAGCTTCCCAACCTTGGCCCGATGGGTCCACTGGTGCTATGCATAGGCAACCTTCAGACCTGCACTTCGGGAAGTCGGTGCTGCGCTCCAGCTCTGGAGTGCAACAAGGTGACCCCTTGGGGCCGCTGCTTTTCGCAGCTGCTCTGCAGCCTTGGCTGCCGAACTCCAACGTGGGGGCTTGGACCTCGCGTTCTTCTACCTGGATGACGGCGTGGTCGCAGGAGATGTTGCCGCAGTGGCCTTGGAGGCCTGCTGCGGCGTTTGGAGGGTTTGAAGCCGCGCAAACGGCAGTCTTGCCTTGGAAAGGCCTGCGGAAGCGTTTGGAGGGTTTGAAGCCGGGCAAACGGCAGTCTTGAACCCCGTGAAAAACAGATGGCAGGGGCATGTAGATGGCTGGGGCATGTAGCTGACAGAGTTGTTGCCTTGGAAAGGCGTGTGCCTTTGCTTGCGACTAGAGAGCGAAGTTCCACACCTCCGGTGGTCCCAGGCGCCGCCCCTGCCTTGGCAAAGGCCGGGGTCGGCGGATATTTTGTTTTGGCTGGGACATGCTGGGACCCAAAAGAAAGCCATTGATTCCGTGAAAACTTGAGAAAATTTAGGGGTATTCTTCAGCATCTTCAGCCTGGGGCTAGGAAAATCGGATTGAACGCCATTTTGCCCAGCAGCTTTGCAGAGAGGTATGCCTTTGACACAGTCTTTCCGGAGATTTCCCAAAGCGCGCTGTGTAAATTTCGCCTTGCGGAGCTTTGAGCATTTTGAGGTATGGAAGCCATGGCCTGACAGTTGGATGATTTAGCTTATTACACTAGTTTGATGCCCATTTGGTTAAATTAGCAAACTGTGAAATCACTGTCACTGTACAGATTTGAATCCATACTTCGACCAATCCAACAACCCCCTGGAAAATACATGAGCATACCCCGGGCCATTTGACAAGGGCTTATGAAAGGATTCCGCGGTCTTGATGGGGTATGCTCCAGAGGGATGTCCCAACCATCTTAGAATGTTCATTTTGTTTCATACCCTTCGGTAATTTAACAGTTTGCTGTGGATAATTCATGTAATTAGTTGCCACATTGCATAGCGTACTTATTTTTTAATGGGTATATATCATGGTATATGCATTGTATATGCATTGTAAATCATCTATGTATGACAAATTTCCGTGGCAAACTGTTCGAACGGTTCCATCGCCAAAAAAAACGCCTTCACGACACAGAAGAGCTACAGGTTCCTTCAGCGAACTCCTTGGAACACTGACCACCGGGCCTCGAACTCAGTTGAAGACCAACGAACCAACCGATGGGGTTTAAGGGAAGTCCAGATTTGGAAAGCCATATTAGCGTTCGTCTCAAAATAGGGCACCCCCAAATCCAGTGTTTTTTTTCAATTTCTTTCCCTATCTAACTGAAACCAGCAATTTCTATGGTATTCGCCCCATATCTTTATCTGAGGGTAACAAGTTTACATGAATAGCTAGGAACTAAAAATGTAATTAAGTCCTAAGTTTTGGGGTTAAGCTTGGACCAGTTTTACGTGTTTTTCAACAACACCTGATTCCCAAAGCATGCATGTTTTTGCCACCTGTAAACATATGTGTAAATGATGTAAATGCGGTGCATCGTTTTCTCAAAACATGCCCCTTGCCAACTTGGTCAAAGGCTGGCCGTTGCCTTGCTGCTTTTTGCTACTCAGCTGCAGTTGGATGTGGGTCACGCCACGCATTGAATCGCGAATCAACCCATCAATCCATCGATCAACCAATCTTCTGCTTCATTTGTCCAGCAACCAATCAATCCAACCATCAATCAATAAATCCATCCATCAAACCGAACATTGGATGGTTCAATAGTGTGAGTTCCGGGTCGGAAAAGCATGACCCCATACCCAGGTTGTGACAGTGCAAGAGATTAAGTTAAGACCCAAGGGGTCCATGATTCAATGGGATATAAACAGTCAACTAAAAACATCAATTGAACCTAAAAGGGGATTATATATATATATACATACACATGTGTAAAAATGAAGATTAAAACAAATTACTTTACTTCGTGTGATCCCCACCATGACATTTATACATTTTGTTACTGGCAAATCTTCTGGCATTCTATCTGACATTTTATCTGGCATTCTATCTGGCATACCTTCTGGCATTCTATCTATCATACCTTCTGGCATTTTACCTGGCATATCTTCTGGCATATCTTTTGGCATTCTATCTGGCATATCTTCTGGCATGTTATTTGGCAAATCTTCTGGCATTCTATCTGGCAAACATTCTGGCACTTTATCTGGCATACTTTCTGGCATTCTATCTGGCATTCTATCTGGCATATCTTCTGGCATTCTACCTGGCATATGTTCTGGCATATCTTCCGGCAATCTATCTGGCATTCTATCTGGCATATCTTCTGGCATATTATCTGGCAAATCTTCTGGCATTCTATCTGGCAAACATTCTGGCACTTTATCTGGCATACCTTCTGGCATTCTATCTGGCATGCTATCTGGCATATCTTCTGGCATTCTACCTGGCATATGTTCTGGCATATCTTCCGGCATTCTATCTGGCATTCTATCTGGCATATTATCTGGCAAATCTTCTGGCATTCTATCTGGCAAACATTCTGGCACTTTATCTGGCATATCTTCTGGCATTCTATTTGACATTTTATCTGGCATTCTATCTGGCATACCTTCTGGCATTCTATCTGGCATATCTTCTGGCATTCTATCCGACATTCTATCTGGCATATCTTCTAGCATATCTTCTGGCATTCTATCTGACATTCCATCTGGCATATCTTCTGGCATTCTATCTGGCCGTTGAGGTCCGGCAGGGAACACTGGGCGCGGATGGTCGCGGTTGAGGTCCGGCAGGGAACACTGGGCGCGGATGGTCGTGGTTGAGGTCCGGCGGGGAACACTGGGCGCGGATGATCGTGGTTGAGGTCCGGAAGGGAACACTGGGCGTGGATGGTCGTGGTTGAGGTCCGGCAGGGAACACTGGGCGTGGATGGTCGTGGTTGAGGTCCGGCAGAGAACACAGTGGATCGCGGTCGCAGTTGAGCAAGGACGACGAGGACGACGAGGACGACGAGGAGGACGAGGAGGAGGAGGAGAGGAGGACGAGGCAGGAGGAGGCGGAGGAGGAGGAGGAGAAGGAGGAGGAGGAGAAGGAGGAGGAGGACGAGGAGGCAACTGACATAAAATCTAACAACCCTCACCTGGCAGGTGGGGAATGACAACAACTTATGCTTTAAGGTTGACGTTGGGCCATAGTGTAGATGTTCCAGGTAGTTCTGTGCACATGTGTGCCGAGATTTGCTTGCTCATTTGAAACTTATTATAGAGTTTAATCAAACCACACCCTATTTTTGGACGAATACGAAAGAAGCAGAAACAATTTTTTGGAGGTCTCCAAAAGGAAAGGACAGGATTTCCCCATTATCTTCATGATGATATCAGATCTCTATCGTTTTGAGACCTCTAGAATTAATACCGGCGAACCCATCAGCCATCAACCCGAGAGTCACATTTCGTTGCGCAGGCCTTGGGCCGTACCTCATCTACTGAGGTTTTTTCGAGTTCCCGATACTGATGGAATCCAACATTTGGGTGTCCAAGAATGGGGTACAACCCCAATCCACGGTAGTTGAATAAGGATAGTGATGATCAACCATCGGATTTGGGCATTGGGATAATCTATCTTCAGGTAAATCCTACCCTGGCTGGGGCTATCCTGTGTATAGCTGGCTTGTAGCCCTCCTACTAAACGAGTATGGCAAACCCAATAACGACATATAACAACCACTTTTTGCGTGGCTTAGACTACTCATCAAATTGTAAGTCATGGTCATGGGGTAAATTGGGTATGCTGACTACGGCATTGGGTTACGACTTACCCTGTTGCGATCTATGGGTTCATCCTGGCCAATCTTAGATACCCTGTATTTTTGTTAGCCAATCTTATAGTAAATGTTTTGTTATCAATCATTCCTGCTAGCCATTGTCATTGTCAATATTTGGTACCCTGCACACAATATGTTTGTTTAATTTTTTAATATTGGTTCGTAAATATCAAAACTAACCCTGTCTATATATACATATATATATATATATACATACATTCATTTATCTGCCATGAATATTTCAACACAGAGCCACGTTGGTGAACTATTTGCTATTGATTCACTATGGCTCATATTTGTTTAGTTGGTTTATGCAAACGTATCACAACTTACCTTCTCGTTACTTAACATAGCTGTCAACAATGGCCCATTTGTAGATGATTTATGATGAATTACCTTTTCAAAACTGGTGATTTTCAATGGCAAACTGTTGAATTACTGTTAAACATGGTGACCTCTTCTGTCATATTCGACAATGCGACATCCTCAATGTTAATGTCTGGGCAACACTCCGTATCAGTTGGTAACACTACATGGCTCTGTATGGGTCATACCGTTATAGCTCCAGCTATATATATATATGCACCAGGCCCTGCCAGCCACCCCCCCTCCCCCCCCATATGGGATGGGTTCCATATACTGGTCCCATATGAGATCTTCCCCCTCCCCCCCTGTGGTGTGGTGGGGGTGTGGCACTGTCCCCCTCCCCCCCTGTGGTGTGGTGGATGGGTCCCATATACTGGTCCCATATGAGATCTTCCCCCTCCCCCCCCTGTGGTGTGGTGGGGGTGTGGCACTGTCCCCCTCCCCCCCCTGTGGTGTGGTGGATGGGTCCCATATACTGGTCCCATATGAGATCTTCCCCCTCCCCCCCCTGTGGTGTGGTGGGGGTGTGGCACTGTCCCCCTCCCCCCCCTGTGGTGTGGTGGGGGTGTGGTATGGTATGGTGGGTATGTATGGTGTGTATGGTCGGTCTGGTATGGCATGTTTGGAAAGTATGGTATGTTTGGTATGTATGGTAGGTATGGTATGTATGGCATGAGTGGTTGGTATTGTATGGATGGTAGGTATGGTATGTAAGTCTGTTGGATATGGTATGTTTGATATGACAGTATGTATGGTCTGTATGGTATGT